AAGGTTAAGTACCTTGTTCAACTACATTGGAAAGTAGCAAAATGAGACTGAAACTCCCTCTTCCAGCGTCCTATCCTTTACATGTCTACTTGCCTTCCTGCTGTTTGCTGAGCACAACACAGATCTAACCCCCAAAGAGAGCCAACTTCACTAGGTCTCTTCTGAACTGCTGATCTTTGTGGTGAAGCTTATGGCTCTCACAAATTTTATTATGGCATGGGAACCACCTCTTAAAACTTTTATTCCCTTCGAACAATTAGCAATGACATAGACTATCATTTAAACCTGTTGTTCTGTTAACAGTTTTCAGTTATCTTGTTCTTTGCCCTCACCTTACTTTTTGTCTCTCTCTCCTCCCAATCTCCACCCTTGGTTTCAGTTTAAGGGACTTAATTTCAGTGTTTTCATCAGTGTTTTAGAATATTATTTTCCTAAGCAAACAAGCTTCAAATCCTTAAGCAGTTGGAAATATATTGATAGGCTGAAAAAACAAAGCAAGCAAGCAAGGATGCGTTCAACGTTTCTGTAGCTTTGTAAATGGGGCGAGAGGTCACACTATCGTCAGGGAGTCAACCTGAGGAGGAGAGCTTATTTGTGTATCTTGCATCTTTTATAAAGAGAGACAATAGCAGGCTCTTTCGGTTTGGGGCTCTTGGCGCCGCCCTGTGGAGGGAAGCGCCTTTGCAGTTCATTCCCGTCAGCTGGCATTGTCATCAAGTAGATCCCTAGAAGCATTCCAATTAAATGCGATAGGAAGAAACATCAGTTCTAACTTTATTGTAATCTATAGGTGCGTTTATTCAAAGTTCAGTTCTGGGTTTTTTAAAAACCTTATGCTCCAGTTTAACACAATCCCAAATACCAAATTTTGATTGTAAAAGAGGGCCACTGAGAACATGTTGAGAACTTGTTAAAATATTCGAATGTTTGAATCATTCTCCGTGGTGGGGAGGAAGCATCTTTAGTGGTGCTGAAGACTGATGTGTTCTTCAGAGCCAGTAAGCAAAAGTTCTTTATCATTCATAGTTGGCAGAAAAAAAAAAAAAAAGCTTTCTCTGAAGGAATTTCAAACTCTTTCAAAAATTAAAGAATTCTCTTTCTTCCTTTGTCTTTTATTTCTAAGAAAATGAAAACCTGAAAGTGGAAGATCGTTTTCAAACCTATGCCCATTTAGGGACTATATTTCTTTGTTAACTTCAACGGGAAACTCAGAGATTAATCCAGTTAATGCACCTCCTTTTCTATTCGTGGGGATTGGAAATGTGACTTCCCTGCACCCTGTTCTGGGTCTGAAATTTGATTTTCAAATGAAAAGTTAATTATGCTTGCTCTGCTAAAAAGTGCACAACTTCTTTGGGTATAAACATTATATATACTCTCGGGGAAAAAAGGCAAGAGAGGGACGTGTTTAAAGAAGAGAGAGCAGAGGAAAGTTAAAAAACAAAACCCCAGGTCTGAAGAATTTTTTCTTTAAGTTTGCCATCTAGTCTTCGAGTTCCTTTTTGGAGATTCAGGCCAGTACTACCTTTTCCTCCCGGGTAGGGACCCCAAGTAGGATCTTGATAAAAACCAAGATTGTATTTTCTCCCTCACAGTTGTCATTCTCCGGAGTTGATCTCCTAACATCCCACCCAAAGAAATCTATGATCTTAACCGTTTAAGAAAAGCTCATCCGAGACATTTGACAAGGTGAGGCCTACTGAGCTTGTTTGTTGCTTCCCTTGAGAGCTTTTATAAAAATGAACACGCCCTTCCCCCCAACACTTCCATCTTCTCTCTTCCTTTCTTTTTAGATTTCATTTTTTCGTCGGGTAATATTTCTGTCTCCCGTGCTAATGCTGTGTATTTTTCCAAGCAAAAAATCCTGTCAAATCACCCAACACAAGCTGTGCGATCAGCCTTATGAGCTCTTGAGTCATTTTAGGCGTCAGAACAAAACAAAAACAGGTTTAAATTAATTATTTATCAAGGTAGAGAATAACTGATTTGTGCAATGCCTTCAGTTCAGGATCTTAAATTTGTTTTCACCCCTCCCCACTTCCCACCCAGAAAAAGCCGACAGGAGGGTGCGGCTGGGAGCCCCAGGTCTGGGAGGAAACACACCTCTTTTGGAAAGTTGGTGGGTGATGTAGAATGAGAGGAACCGGAATTGATATTTGAAGGAAGAAGGATAAGTTGCCTCCGCCTGCAGCCTCAGGCGGCCCCAGCGCCCTTCCTACAGAAGCCAATTATGCCAGGGGCGCAGGGGGCCCGGCTTTGTGGGCGGGACACTGCCGCCTTGGATAAGAGAGATGCCCCCTTAAATCCCAGGCCCGTGGTTCCGAGTTCCCCCCGCGCGAGGTTGAGGCCCGGCCGGCAGGCTCCCAGGAGGGTCTGCTTGGCCAGTGCGCAGTTCCCGCTCCAAAGGCGGCTGTTCCAACCACGCTCCAGGCGTCATTCAGGCAGTTCTCGGCTTCCCGGCCCAGAGTGGCAGGGGTCCATCCAGCGGGCCCACCACGCGCTCCCGAGGGACTCCCCTCACCGGCTCAGGCCGCCGTCGGCCTCTGTCTGCTGCTCGCCCCGCGTCCCCGCCTCGGCTCACGAACCCTGGTTCCTCCGCCAAACTCCCCTCATCTTCTGAGAGCCGCCTAGATTGTACATCTCCTCCCCTCGGTCTTCCGTCTCTCCGCAGTTCTCCTAAGAAACATATACCCGTAAGAAAACAGCCCGAAGATGGCTAAAACAGCTCAACACAACCTGGAAATAGCGCGGGCTTTTTTTTTTTCCCCTGGGTCAAACATATCGCACTACCTAGGAAAACGCAGGAAGGATTAATCTCCCACCTACCCCCTTCCGGACCGAGGACTCACACAGAGGTAGTTCCAACAGAAAGGCAGGATCTTGTCCCAGAAGGTCACCTGCGTTCCAGACACTAACCCTACCCGCAAGTCCTCAACAGAAAAAAGCCGGCCCCCAGTAAGAGAACTTCAGAACCGCAACTAAACCCAGATTTCAGCCCAGCCCTGGGAGACTTAAAAGGCCATTTTCTACCATCATTCTGCACCTAGTTACGGAAGCTATGCCAGCCACTCAGATTCATAGGTTCTTAAAATGGTAATTTGGAGTAAAATGTAACTCAGAGAACTTTGAATCATTCATTAGCACCTTATAATTACTCTGCTAATTAGGTTGACACGGCACTTAATCAGGAGTAATACGCCGTCTTGTCACTGGCACTTCCCATTACTCTGACATTCAACAAGAGACAGGTTGGAGACGTCCTAGAGAAAATAATGCAAGTTGATACCCTCCGACGAGGCGTCACAGTCAAGACATGCTCCAGGTCCCAAGTGGATCCACAGTGACTGTTTCCTTTCCAAAAGCGCGGCCGGAGAGGGCGAGGAAGGGTTGGGGGGGGGGGGGGGGAGAGAAGGAAACAGAGACAGACAGAGAAATTGAGACGGAGATCTGCCTGGTGGCGAGGAGGGCAAAAATGCTGCAGCCCCACCACTCGGTTCCCGAGTCCCAGGCCAGCCTGATAGCACAGTGAACCTTGGCTGCCCTCGGCGCTAGAGAACGCCTTGAGGCATTATTTTCCCCCGCTCGGGAGAAAGTGTCTGGTCACCTATTTCTTCCAGCGCGGGCCCTAATTTGGAGACCAGGCTGGCACCCCGGTTTTGAGCAGCAGGCCACTTGTCTTCCACCCCTACCGAGAGTGCCTGGTGGGCGCGGATCCCTCTCCATTTCCCCTTCAGGGACCGGCTGCCCAGCTGGGCCAGATCCGGGACGCCTGGGCTCTTTGGGGGAGAAATCAGAGCTCGGAGTCCGCCCGCCCACCCAGAGCTCCGGCTGCTGGAGTTAACACACTACCCCCTGGGTTTCTTCAGGGAGTCCCTTCCTCTGCTCTCAGTGTCTTTGGACTATTCAAGAGCGTGTTTGAGGAGGTGCTTGGCGGCAGCGCTGGAGTTTAAAGGTAAGCCGACAAATCCTGTCCTCTTTCCCCTCCCTCTTCGGTCTTCTTAACGGCAAATCAATACTATTTTCTCGCTCTTCTCCCTCCCCCCGCCCCTTTTCTTTCGCTTTTTCTAAAGACTTCGATTCCCTTCTCTAGTCTCCCTGTGCTCCCTTCCCCTCTCTCCCTTTGCCCTCTCGCGTGATTGTGAACGCGGGGACCATTGTAGGACTAGGTATTTTGGTTGCAGGGAAAGGGATGTGCGGGTTCCGAAAAGAGCAGCGGGGCCAGAGCCGGGATCGCTGACGGGTTCGCGAGGCGAGCGCCCATTGGCTCCCGGCACGTCGGCGTCGCTCGCTCGCGCGGGCGCGGCCAATAGGGGCGCGGGGCCCGGCGCGCGGCCTTCGGCGGCAGTGGCCGTGACGTCACGGGAGGGGGTCGGCGCCGCCCGCTCGCCGCCGGATTACAAGCGAACGCGCCCGGCAGCGGCGGGAGTCGCTCGGCGCCGCGTCTCCGCTACCTCTTCCGCCTGCGCCTGCTCCTTCTTTTCCTCCTCCTCTTGTTGCCGCGAACGTCGCGGCAGTGTCTGCTCCACAACTTTCCAAGAAAGTTCAGAAACTCGTCTCCGGGGCGGCCGGGTTGCGCGCGGCAGCTACCTCGGGGAGCCGCCGGGCAGCTCCGAGGGCGCGCGGCCGCCCGGGCTTCTCGGTCGCTGCACCTGCCACGTCCGTCGCCGCCGCTGCCGCCTGGTGCCAGGCTGTGGGCAGACCCAGGCGGTGGCGGCAGCGGCGGTGGTGTCGGGTTCACCTGCTGCCGCCTCGCCTCCGTCTGGGTCCCCTGCGCTGCCACCGCCGCCCACGTGCGCTGTCGTTCCTGGAGCGCACGCTCGGTGCTTCCTCAACAATTTTTGTAACTTTCCCCCCTCTATCGTCCTTTCTCCCAACTTCCACTTTTTTCATTAGGGTAAAAAAAAAAAGTGTCGAAAGTGTCCACGGATTGCCACCTCCCAATTATCCTTCCTTTCCTCCCGCCCCACTTTTTTTTTTTTTTTAAGCGGCGACAACATTGTTTAGTGTTATTTTGTTTTACCATCGATAGCTTCCTTTGCTTGGTCGGGGCGGCTGCGGAGCGGCGGAGTGGCGTGGACCTCATGTAGAAATGACAACAATGGAAGGGGCCAGCGGGTCGAGTTTTGGAATAGACACGATTTTGTCCAGTGCCAGTTCGGGCAGCCCCGGCATGATGAATGGAGATTTCCGCCCGCTCGGCGAGGCCAGGACCGCGGATTTTAGGAGTCAGGCCACTCCGTCCCCCTGTTCGGAGATTGATACCGTAGGAACGGCGCCTTCTTCTCCCATCTCGGTCACCATGGAGCCCCCGGAACCGCATCTGATTGCGGACGGGCCCCAGCATCACCACCACCTGCACCACAGCCAGCAGCCGCCGCCAGCCGCGGCCCCCACGCAAAGTTTGCAGCCTTCGCCCCAGCAGCAGCAGCCGCCGCCGCCGCCGCCAGCGGCCCAGCAGCTGGGCTCAGCCGCCTCGGCACCCAGGACTTCCACCTCTTCTTTTTTAATTAAGGACATCTTGGGCGACAGCAAACCTCTGGCGGCGTGTGCACCGTACAGCACCAGCGTCTCCTCTCCCCACCACACCCCGAAGCAGGAGAGCAATGCAGCACACGAGAGCTTCAGGCCAAAGCTCGAGCAGGAGGACAGCAAAGCCAAACTGGACAAGCGGGAAGAGTCCCAGAGCGACATCAAATGCCACGGTGAGTCCCGCCGCCTCGGCTCCCTCGGCCGTTTAGCTTCTCCTCCTCCTGCTCCCCTTCCGTCTCGCGCGAATCTCTGATGGGATCCGAAGGCGATTCTCAGCTTCCAAGGCGCTCGGGCCACAGTCAAAAACTGCAAGCGAGAGGGAGGCCGGGGCGTGCGATTTGGGCACTCGTCCCAAGTTCTGTTTATTGTTAACATTTCTACATCCCCCAACCCTCACCGCCACCCAGCTTCTTCCTTTGTTTTACTTCATTTTAATTTATTAGGAAGGGGTCAGGCGGAGGGGATCTGATGGGAAGTTCTTTCATATTTCGTAGTGCCTAGGGGTGTGATCACAACGTGGTGTTTATTTTTTAATGCAAATTATTGCGTTCCTCCCACACATCGTATTTCCTTAACACCCCTACAGGAATTATCAGATATAGTGAAGGAAAAAATGCCGAGTTGATTAACAGAGTAACTTTAAAAAAAATCATTACATAGTGATTAATACAGGGAAGGCCACACGGTAAAAAGATTATAATTAGCGTTTCAATTTTTAAAAATACCCTTTCTACTCCATAGCCCTAACTAAATATCCGTATTTCAACTAGAGTTTTGGCTCTTAACAAGTAATTGCGAGGTTGCATTTATGGATAAAATTTTATGGAATTGAATGTCTATTTTTGTAAAGTCAGATGATGGCAATGGATTTATTCTTCAACTCCCTTTTTCCATTTTCTCACCAGAAAATTTCATAAGTAAGGGTTCTAGTCTTTGCATGGCAAGAGTTTTACTATACAAGGAGAGTTCTTTTTGCCCCTTTACTGATAAGTTGATTATTACTAATATTTGTCATCTCTGGGAAAGATGTGTGCTCTCTGGAAGGTAGGATATTGCCTCTTCATTTTACTATTGTAGCATTAGCATAATAGTGCCCAAAACAGATGTACAGTCTGCTCTGGCGATTTTTTTGTGCACCAACCTCCCCAGTGGGTCAATTAGAGAGATTATTGTTCTTCCTGCAGGGAAGATCAAGGAGCGAAGCAAAAAACGGGTACAAACAGAGAGGGATTGACATATCGATTTCCCAGCATTTCAGTAGAAAACCAAAGTTGACAAATAGAATCCGGAAATCTCTGGGCTGTCACCTGGATGGGCTCAGTGATTTTGAGCTGAATGCAGTGTCTGGGAGACATTCTTTCTGAAGCTTTAAGAGACCTGATGCAAGCAGTTGCAGAGAGCCAACATTTCCCAAGTGCAACTGAAAAAGGAAAACAAATGCCTATAACTTTTGGTAAACAGAAGAAGTAAAATGAAAAAGGTATCCCCTCCTCAAAAAAGAAAAGTTGAAAGATCTTTTAAAACCTAATAAATCATAACATACGAAGTCAGAGCGAAAATAATAAAGGAAAAGGACAGGGTCTTCCTCACTCAAGGAAACAATTAGGAAGAGGACCCTTTATCATAAAGTATTTTTTCATTTCCAAAGATGGGAAGATTCAACACTCTTTTGGAAACCTTTTAGAAGCTCTGCACGAGCCTCCACATTCAATATCTAGCAGTTGGTCCTCTTTCTCCATCCTGGCTAAGGCTCAAGTATGTGTATAAGGAAGGTGGCAGAATATAGCTCCCCCCTGCTCTCCCCAGACCAGTGACTGGCTTGGGAATATAGAAGTGTGTGCCAGGAGGACACTCCATCCTTCCCCATTCCAGGCTACCTCACGGCTATGTCTGGGTTTCTGTGTAGGAACAAAGGAGGAAGGAGACCGGGAGATTTCAAGTAGCCGAGAGAGTCCCCCTGTGAGAGCCAAAAAGCCTCGTAAAGCCAGGACGGCTTTCTCCGACCACCAACTCAATCAACTGGAGCGTAGCTTTGAACGACAGAAGTACCTGAGTGTGCAGGATCGCATGGACCTGGCGGCTGCACTCAACCTCACTGATACCCAGGTCAAGACCTGGTACCAGAACCGCAGGTAAGGGAGGCTGTGGTGGGGAGCAGAGGCATCTGGTTATCCAGGTCAAGACCACTACATTAGTCTTCATCCCTTGTGGCCTCGGAGTCAGTAGGGGCTCAGAGGGCCCGGGTGGGCAGTTGGGGGGTTTTCAGGCTGGAGTAGGGATTAGCCATACCTCCCAGGTAGCTGGAGTTTGGAGTATTTTGCACTTCGAAGGGTCTTTCGCATATGCTATTTTTCTCTCTCAAATCTGAGTGGCTGAAATTTCTCCCACTTTGCCCCCAAATCAATCAGGCCACACCTTCTCAAATCGAGACGTCTGTGTAGCAGACACTCAGGCCCATAAAACTGATGCACTGCACCCTTTTGGGCCTGCCCCAGGATGGTTCCAAATATCTATAACCAGTCACTCAATCTGGCTATAGCTGTCCTGAAGAGCGAATCCACTGGCCTCGACTTAAAAGCCCTTGCCTGGCCTGTGAGGCAGCCAGGAGGAGGGTTAGGGTTGGCAGTCGGTCAGACATCTAGACTGAGGGTTTGCCCCCTATTCTGGCCATGTCAGAGCCCTCCAGGAACCACAGCTTCCCTTGAAAGGAACTTAGGAAAGGAGCTGGCAGTACTTGCAGGCCCCTAAACTGCAGTGCGAACACCCAAACCCGGCAATCTGGTGCTGAGGTTATGCCGGGTTTCTAAGCCTGGCGGTCGTCTGCCTTGTCTCGATTTTCTCTCTCCCGCCTTTTCTCTCTCTCGTTTGTGTTCTAATCGTCCATAAGTGTGGTTGGAAATGCCCATCCAGTTGTCATCTTTACCATAATTTTCTGTCTCATTACATACGGCTTCAGCCACCCTAATTCTGTCAGAAAACATTAGTGTCATTTGTCGCCAATTTAAAATGGGCGATATGTTTATTAATTTGGCTGGAGCTGCTGGGTATGGAAGGCCCACCAGCCCCGAGTTCCTTCAGGAGGCATGTGAGCAAAGGCCTGCTGCCTCTTCTTCCTAGTGGGGGTGCGATGGGGGAGGGAGGAGACCAAGAAAAGCTGATCACAGGTTTTAATTGTTACTCTCTCCCAGAGGAGACAAGATTTTGAAATGCATTTTTCCCCTCCTGGAATGGCCCCAGGTACTGTCCCCTTGGGAGAGCCCTCCCTCAAACGAATTCCGTTTTGAAACCTTGTCACCTTCCTCACTCTAAGCCACCCGCTGCTGTAAGGTCCTGTCAGGCTGATGAGAGATGTGTCTCCACAGCCTTGGGGACCCAAAGGGGCAGGGGTCCAAGGCCCAGGAGCCTCTGTGTCCCTTTGTTTACGGTTTCTTCTCACTCGGTCTGGAGGCAAGGGGGAGGGGCAGAGAGCATACACTCTGGGATTGTTGGGGAGCCACTTGGGGAAGAGAATTAAAGGAGGGGAGAAGACGCCTGCCTTAGAGAGAGTGGTCTCCGTTGATCTCTAGGAAAGTTCCAGGAAGTAGCCAAACTATGAGGATGGCAACAGCAGAGCAAAAAGCCAGGAGAAGGCAGCAAAGCTTGGAGAAATTTATTTATGAATGTCTGTTTGGGAAACCGGCTTGGGTTTGAGTGATTCTGTGAGGGAGAGGGTGGGATGGGGGCCAGGAGGTGTGGTTCCTTCCCAATTCTCAGCGCTCTCTAAGTCTTCCTTGTCCTCCCTGAGGAAGAAAAGACCGGCCAGGGGAAAGGACGGGCCTTGGGGCCTGGACTGTGCCCCCCAGCCGTGGGGTGCACGCACGTCTGCTTTTCTTTCAGGACCAAGTGGAAGCGGCAGACCGCGGTGGGCCTGGAGCTGCTGGCTGAGGCGGGGAATTACTCGGCACTGCAGAGGATGTTTCCATCGCCTTATTTCTACCACCCAAGCCTGCTGGGCAGCATGGACAGCACTACAGCCGCGGCGGCCGCCGCCGCCATGTACAGCAGCATGTACCGGACTCCTCCTGCGCCCCATCCCCAGCTGCAGCGGCCCCTGGTGCCCCGAGTGCTCATCCACGGCCTGGGGCCCGGGGGACAGCCGGCCCTCAATCCCTTGTCCAACCCCATCCCAGGTACCCCGCACCCCCGGTGAAGAGCGAGCCTGCAGACCCTCCCTGTCCCCTCCCCGACCAGGACAGCTGCCCCTCCTCTCCCCCAACCAGGCAGTCTGGCCTCCCTTGCAGCCTACCAGGAAGCAAAGAAGTGAGAGAGGAAGATGCTCAGCAGTGGGCGGGGGTCCCCCGAAAGAGCCAGCCCTCCGCACTTCATCTCCCCACCCCCAGAGACAGGGCTGGAAAGCTCCCCCACAGCAGTATGACTGGCGAAAACGCTGACCCCACACAAGAGTGCGACCAGTAAGTGAAAACATCAACAAAAACAAAAACCTCAAGTTCTTTTTCAAAATGACTTTAGGGACAAGCAGGAGGGAGGGAGGGGGGTGGGGTAAGGAGGGAAGAAAGAAGGGCACGGAGAGGAAACTGCGGAGGCACAGAGAATTGTAGATGAACAGCCTCAGATTCCAAGGCAGAGGGCGTTGCTGTGGACATTCCGTCTGGCCCAGAGAAAAGAGGAGGGTGACTGAGAACTTTGCACTGAATTCTCATGACCTTTTTTCTTTTGGAAAAGTGGCATGCTCCATAATATGAAAAAAATGTACATTTGAAAGACTGAGTGATAAGTGATATATCATATTTATTATATGTTGTCCAAAAAAGAGTCACTTATATACCTTAGTAAAACATGATTTTTCTTTTCATGTCTTTTTGATTCAGTAAAATAAATGCTTAGACAAAAATATAGATTTTTTGGTGATTGAAAATTACAGAAATAAAGTTTATCTTTTTTTAACAAGTGATGAAATCCGAGGGAGCTGATTTTACTAAAGCAGAGTGTACTATGATGAAATGTATCATTTGATTTAGAATTACCCAAAGTCCCTTCCGGAATATTAGGAATTTACAACATCTATAAATACGTTGGGTTGACTTGGGTAAAAACAGCTCCATTTTTCATGTTGGCCTCTTCCGAGCCATTAATTTGGTATGTGTGAATTTTTTTCTTTTTAAGTGGATGATTTCAGAGCAGTTTGTGAGGCCGCAGGAGAAAATCTGTGCTTGTAGGCTTGCTGGCCAAGTAGGCGGCCAACTTTCCCTGCTGCCCCGGCTGGCCTGGCAGCTGCAGCCGAACCGAGTCTGACCGCCCTTCCTCCTTCTCCTAGGGCTCCTCTCAGCGGTGAGGGTCCGGAGCGCTGGGCAGCAGAGATGCCGGCAGGAGCTGGGCGGTGGGCGGGCAGACGTGCGGGCCGCGCAGCTGTTTTTCAGCCTGAGGCCCGGTGCCCGTGTGGTGGTGGGACAGCCTGCAAGCAGGAGGCTGTAGGGTGCGCAATTAGGGCGCCCCGGGGACTCGAAGAGGCCTGGTAACAAACCCTGGTTGTGCTTTGATCCCTGCCTTCTTGTTCCCCGGCGGGCATCCAACCCCTGGCCCCGCACCGAGCCTCTTATCCTGGTGAGTTGTCTGTGATGGGATGCCTGGAGCGGAACGCAACTCTGGCCGAGACAGGTGTGCCGAGCTTTTTTTATGCGCGCCCCTGGATCTTCGGGGACAGCAAAATGAGAGGCCCTGCTCAGAGGGTAGTGGAGGTCGGCTGCTTGCTTTGGGGGTGTCTTATCAGTGAGTGAGAACTGGTGTGTAATACTCTTAGCACCTTGGCCAGAGCCTCACCTCATTCAGAGCCTGACCTCAGCTCCAGGCCTCCCTCCCATACTAGCTCCCAAGAGGCTGAGCACTCCTGACTAGGAGAGGCAGAACTGGAAGTACTGTTCCGGGGCTTTTCCCACCTTCTCGAGCCTGGAGGTCACTTCTCCTGTTGTCAGAGAGTTGAATCCCCATCTGGGTTATCTTCACATCTCTGTCTTCACTCTGGTCCTAGTATGTAGTCAAAGGAGTAAGACCTGCAGCTAAAACACATCCAGACCCATTTTCCAACTTTCTCTGATGTTTGAATCTTAGTAGAGTTATAAAAACATTTTCTTAAAATGTGGAGTGCTGTGGAAGTGTGTGTTGGGGAGAAGTGGGAAGGAAGTAGGAAAGAAAGAGGTGAAATCCAGGAAGAAATTGCCTTCGGCACCTCGATCAGACTTTGGCTAATTAGGGAGTGATTTCTCTCCAGCTCATCAGTTTGCTTTAAAAATGGTCGTGGTCTTGTTTGATTCTAACAAAAGGGTCTGGACTGGCCCTTCTCATTTTATTCCTGCTGAGCCGGGACAAACTCAAACAGCTGGGCTAGGCTGGAAACTGGGCACCACTGTGTCCAGTGGGAATGCCCATTGCCTGGACAGTCAGCAGACTCTCCTTGTTCTATCTTAGCTGCTGTTGGATTTTACAATCATGTTTAAATACGTCAGTTCCTTTTCAGGACCCGGGCAGTGGGGGGGGGGTGGGGTGGTGGTGGTGGTGCCTGCTACAGCTTCTGTCTGCACTGGCCCCAGGGCTGATCATCTTTGGGGGAAAGGGGGAGCTGGGAATTCATTGGTGCTCACACATTCAAAGTTCCATACTAAGAATGACCTCAAGTTCAGTTGGGAAAAGCACATAAACAAACCTTCAAATACAAACGAGACCATAGAACCCATCTGCTACCAGCAGCCCGCCAACCACTCTGCTGGGGAGCCTGCCAGCTACCCCTTCACTCTCAAGGCCAAACTGGGACTCCAAACATGCACAATGAAGGGGAAAACACCATGTCTACAGGGACCAAGGTTTCTTAATTAACCTCCTATTCCACTGCTGCTAGCAATGAGTCTAGATCTACCAGAGTCCTCCCAAATGTGTTTTTGCTTCAAACCTATGTTTTCTTTCACCCCCTAAACCATGCAGCTGAAAGTGTCAATTCTCTTCTAAATTTGTTTTGGTTATTTCCTGTTGCATAGAAGTTAGCAAATGGAGTGTGTGTGTGTGTGTGGTGTGGTGGTGGGATTGTTGTCCCAGGGAGAAAGTTGAGTGCTGGATCCCTTCTTTTCATTTTTTTCTTTCTGCAGCAGTACTACAAGGGGCACCTCAGTAGGTGCCCTTCTATTCAAATGTCCCCAAACTACTGCTTAGAAGTCAAATGCAAACATAGTCCATTCCCTCAAAAGAAGTCCTTCTGTCTGTGCCTGCCCAACAAAGTAGGGAGGTTGGCTAAAAGGTGAGGAGTGCAACACCAGGTTTTACAAAAAAAGCAAGGAACAGGATAACAGACAAAGGTCTTTTCACCAGGGAGATCCAGAGTTAGGAGGCTCAGAGGTCTGCTGGTCCGGGGAGCTGCACTTCTTTTCTTTTTCCCACCTTCAGCTGGTATCAGAAGGACACTCCACTGCTTGCTCCATTTGGATTGCTCCTTTGATTAAGTTGGGGACTGGCAAAACAGGGATTTTCAGGGACATTCTTTCCTTGCTACAGAAACACAGGGAAAAAAAAAAAAAACAACAAACCACCACCCACGTGTTTCAGAGAGATGTTTAAACACAAATACCCCTTAAACTTGCTCTCTGCAAGATGAGCTCTGAGACTCCAGCAAACCTAGCATTAATCAGTAGTGAGTGTGAAATAAGTTAACTCCCCAACCAGCAGCCAGCCATTCTAACCCCAGCCAACAATTTTCAATGAGTTGCAAAGTAATGATTGCTGCTTGCCTCCATGCCTCCAGCAAATATACCTACCACCTTGTATCAGTTTATTTTTGCTCCACCCCTTAAAATGAAAGCCCACATGATGGCAAATTAGACAGCTGATTCCCTCCGTTGCAAATAAAACGGCTTACTGCAAACCAAGACTTTCCTCCTCCTCCCTCCCTGCCATCTGACTCCTGCCTAAGCCGCCCTTCCCCAGGAGCCTGCTGAATCCCACCTCCCCTCTTTAAACAGGCAGCTTGTTTTGTTATATTTTTAACTTTCTAAAAATATTTGGAAAAGCTCTCCCCAGGGGGAAGGAAACTTTAGTTCCCATTAAGCAATGTAGTTACAAAAATATACTGGAAGAGAGCTGCGTGGTTTTCTAAAAAGCCAGACGTGTCTTGAAGTCAACATGCTTGGAAAGAGACTGACTTTTCATCACTGGTGGGCATATGGGGGGGGGGGGGCGGGCAGAGCCGAGCCTCCTAGGGAACTGATGCTTCTTCCTCTGCAATGAATTCTTGGTGTGGGAAAGCTGGTTTGTCCGGTGTTTTGGCTGTTGGCTAGGCAATTAGGCAGAAGGGTGAGTGGGGGTTTCTCCAGGGTTTACCCCATGGACCCTGGAACAGTGCCTCGAGGCTTCTTGAGCTTTCACTAGGTCTTTGTCCAGTCCTAGCTTCTTGGCCAGTTCCAGCCTTCCTCTCTACCCACGCCTCCTTCCCTGGAGTTGGGGGCCTGTTGTGCCCTCCCTTCTTGAAGGTAGGACCCCCCCCCGCCCCCCCGGTGCTTAGTAGGGGTAAGTGTGTGGGGTTAGGGATGTGTGTATTCAGAAAGAGGGAGGTATCACTGGCCTTTCGCATTGGAAAACCAGGTCATCTGTCTCAGGGCGATGAGATGACCCAGAAGGGACTTTCCCCCTCCCCTTCTTCCAGCTGAATTCTGAAAGTCTCTGTCAGTCTTAGTGTTGCTGTGCGGACGGCCTTGGCCAACCTCGCATTCTGTTTCTCCACCTGCCGTCTCTCCTCGGGCCTCCCTCTCCAGTTTCTCTCTCCTAGCACCACAGACAGCTCCTCGGACGCGCGGTGGAGCGAACTGCCGGGGGCTGAGGGTTCCCGGCGAAGCCTAGGCGACCGCAGGGGGCGCACCCGGGAAGGGTCGGCGGCGCCCGCGGGGGAGGGCCGCGAGGTGATTACAAAGCGCCCTCCCTGGCAGCGCTTCCTGATTAGCTCTAAGACCAAACAGGGTCACTTTCCAAAGAACAAAATCTTCAGATCAATAAAGTAATTCAAAAACCAAAAGATCTCGGGGTAAGTAGTGCTCAGTGACAGATCAACTCTAAACCGTCCTTATTTAATAAGTTCTTAGCGGAAGCCGACTGGGAAGGAGAGAGGCCTCAGTTCTGCCGCTTCGAAGCCCCTGCGCCGCGGCCGCAGCGCAGTCGCCAACGGAACGGCTCTCAATGGCATTCTTTTTTTGTTTGTTTGTTTTTACTTTCTCGGCTCGCGCAGCCCGATTCTGCTCAGCGAACCGCCGCCGCGGTCTATGGAAGCCCAGGAGAAGCGCTCCTGAGGCGGCCGCCCTGCAGGTAGCGTTAAGCTGAGGCCCGGATCTCCACTGCTTTTTCCAACTGGCGTCTCCTTTCCCCGGTTTTGGGACTCTCCCAGCTCCCGTAACTATCTGGTTCGGGATAGCGGGTCGCCCCCGCAGGAGCTCCACTGAA